GTTTAATATATCCATGTAGCCTTGGCAAACAGTCTAATAATGTGTTTTATGGATTCTCGTCTGTGAAATGCGCCACTTCCAGTATTTTGCCGGTTAGTCGACGCGAGCAAAATGAAGTCGAAGATTTTAAAAAATCGAATAGTCGAATAAAATCGACGAATCGCGACTGCCCTAGTTATTACATAAATGCTCGAGGCCGAGTCCAAGTACCTCAACTCTATTAAAAACCTTTGAATTAAGTTGATTTGTCTGAGCCTACTGACAGATATGTTCTAGTTTTAATCAAACTCACTTTATTTTGGTCAATTTCACAGAAAAGAATGTAATTTTCTTCAAGTAAATATATCTTGATTCAAGAATCTTTAGACATTTATGCTAGAAAACAAGTCATGAATTAAAATGAATTTAAAAAGTAATGGAGATCTATTGGATGTTGTTTTAAAACTTTGAAGCGTTGTTAAAGGGGTCATATGATGCTGCTAAAAAGAACATTATTTTGTGTATTTGGTGTAATGAAATGTGTTTATGTGGTTTAAAGTTAAAAAAACACATTATTTTCCACATACTGTACATTATTGTTTCTCCTCTATGCCCTGCCTTTCTGAAACGCGTCGATTTTTACAAAGCTCATCGGTCTGAAAAAGCGAGGTGTGCTGTGATTGGCCAGCTATCCAGTGCGTTGTGATTGGCCGAATACCTCAAGCATGAGACGGAAATGTTACGCCCCTCACCATACTGTTGTATTCCCTCAGCGACCAGCACGGATCAGCTCTAGGCATGACGAAGCGGATATCGTCCTCTTTTGGTAGATCAAACAAAGTAGTTTCATTTATGCACCAAGAGCTTGTAACACTCCAAAGAGAAAGGAAAAATTGAAATCGCATCATATGACCCCTTTAATACGAGACATTTGCATTTAGAGACCATGTTGACACATTGCGTTCTATTTAATTTATTCCATAAAAAGTCTTAATTTTATATTCATAAAACCTGCAGGCAAAATTTGCACAGCAAAGCAAGTTTTGAACTTAGATGTGTTTTGTAAAAATGTAGTATAGAGTAAAGGTTTCAGTTCTATTGGTCAGCACAGTGAATTCATGTGAACCACTCGATCCCATTGCAAAATCTGCATGGGGAAATCTTCCACCTTTGTGCAAAATTCCAGATCACATGGATTCCTATTAAAATGACTAGATTTTGCCTGCAAAAATTTGCTGAACAACAGTAAATGTGACCTTATCACAGATCGGAATTTGTGTAGTTGTCAAGAGTCGAAAAGTATTAAATTAGTTATTATATTAAACACAGTTATTTCATTCAGAAGCACTTTAGCTGATGATTTGTCAGACCGCAGAGGAAAAAGGCACGATTAGTGAAGCATATTACTATCAGAAGAGATGTATGTCTGTAGGTGTCATTGGCATTGAATGATTTAGATCTTGGATACAGGGACCTTCTCCGTTATGTCTGAAATGAGTCGAGTGTTGATGTTAGTGGAGCAGAGCATCAGACTGGTGTTAACGTCTGTGGTATGGATAATTTTAGACCTCCGCTGGGTTTTCTTCTTTCTAGCTGGACTGCATCAGCACAACCATATCAGCCGTTGTCTCTTTCTTATGACTGGAAAGTTCAGAGACTCTTTCATATAAGCTGGCTGCCATGTTATTGGACTTCAGAGCAGCCCAGGTTCCCGTCTGTCTGGAGACACCATTGGACAGACTCAGAGACTCATGATGTCAGTCCCAGAGAAATGCTAATGCCCTTTGCCGCACACTCACAGTATCCTCCGGGCCGATGGGTTCGTGTCTGAGCTCACTCTCATTAGCCATTTCCCACATGTTGCTCCAGTACTCATTCAATAACTATCTGGAACACTTTAGAGGAACGACACGACTAGAGACATTCCCCCATACAACAGGAACCCCATGCTGATGTATTTGCTGGCCATGCCATCTAAAATATGGACTGCTGCATCCTTTGTTCACACATTCCCATTTTAAGGGGCCGGGTTTCCATTAGATGGTTTCTAGTGCCGACAGAAGTACCAGTACTTCAGTATCAAGTCGATGCTTAATTTTTAAAAACACCAACCTTTCTGCAGTATCAGGTAGATTCAGTTTCCATTGATTCCAATGTAGAATTCCTGGATTTGTGATATCACAAAGATCGACGAATGGGACGAGACCTGGTTGAGCTGCACTAGAGAAGGCAACGAGTGTAATCACTATGTCGGAGACACGCTAGTTTCCCCAAGGCAGACGAACTTAGAGTGGTTACAATCATCCGGGTTTAAATCACGCTCAAATTGATTTGATATTGATGCAATATTTACGCTGAAGCTTGCAGGCGGCTATGGTAAGGGGCATGACATTTCACGACCAGGCTTCGAGCCGTTCATGCCAGACTGGGGAAGAGAGGTGTTGTAATAATGTAAACTATGTGAAAAATAATGTGTTTTTCGAAGAACCTACTATGAGAGTCTGTTCTAGTACACCCCCAAAACAAAATTAAGACTTTGTAAAAGAGCATAATAGGACCCCTTTAAAGTTCAGGTGAAGATATTTGTGATTAATTCATGCTAACTGTTTGGCAGGAATAATCCTCACCCTATAGATTGCACTTGTGCCTTTGTTTCAAAGTGAAAATATTTGGGACGAGAGCTGTGTGGGACTGAAAGACAAAGGCAGATTCCAGTTACACTCTCTCACTGCAGATAATGCTGCTCAGCTGCAGGTTTCAGGGACGGGGCGGGGCCAGTGCCATGATGTCATCGGCTCCGACGCTCCATCCCAAAAGGGCCTCTTTGTTGGCAGAGATCAGCACGAGCGTCCTGCTTTTCCTGTGGATCGTCTCTCAGTCAATAACATCATGAAAAAGACAACACTGTCGTCAAAGTGCTTCGTTTAACTCCTGTTCATGTTTTTTTTCTGTGAGAATTATCCGTATGGATGACTAGTTCCTCACTGGACTGAGAAAACGAGAAGAACTGGAGCGGGTGGAAAAAATGGAGCCTCTTACTCTGGAAACTCGCTAGAAGAACTGTGTGAAGTCAGGATGTCAGTGTTTTTGCCAGGAAAAGCCGTCTTTGACTTCATCTTCACAGTATACATGACATAGGCTACTAACACAAACTTTGTGGATGGATTTTTTGTGTTTTCGTTTACTTTTTGAAGTGAACCATTTGGATAAAAGAGAAAACACAATATAGTTCGGGAACTGGATAATTTTTTTTCAATTGGTCGTGTTGGGAAGCAAATGAAAATGTTGGAGATTTGTTTAAAATTGGTGGGCTGTAAATCCAAAAAAGGTCTGTCTTCATCTTCCAGCTGTTACTTGGAAGGTAAGCGACTGTGGTGGCGAACGTGTGTGTGTGTGTAAGAATCTCAATTACAGAGCAGCAGAGTCCGAACACGGCCTTCAGATGAACAAACGGATGGATCTGGGGTTGATGGTCTCGTGAAAATCACAGGCCCTCGGTGCTCCTTCTGTCTGTTTGGAAAGTGGAGGAGGGGGAACGAGCGAGAGGAAAGCCAGACTTACTGGCTCGCTGTAAAAGAAAGAGAGGAAAAAACGAGGGAGGAGAGAACACTGGGAAATCTGATTCCTGATCCGTGCAGTTTTGTGTGTGTGGAGAGTTCGGATGCATCTACACTTTTACTCAGTGATCTTAGTGAATGTGTCTTTGACTTTAACTCTTAGGCAGATTTAACAAGCACAGAGTTTACTGAATGCCAGTAACACAAAACAATGTCTATTAAGAGTGAAATTTTGCTGTAATGGCATGAACGTATAAAGGAGCTGAAATGTGAAAGTGAAGAATCATCTGATTGTAGCCTGATGTTTTATCTCAGAACTCTGCTCGTCTTTCTCGTGTTTGATCATAGCGATGGATGGCCGATCTGAGTTTGACAAAAAGAATGTGCAGTTTATGGTGACTGATGTTCTTTGTGGCTGTTTGGTGACTGGCTGCTTATGACATCAACATGAAATAATGTTAATAGGGAATTGGAAAAAAAACCCTAAACATTGGTTTAAAAATTGTTGAAGACCAGTTACATAATCTAAAACATACATGCCTTGAACATTGAGTTGTGATGTGGATTTAAAAAAATGTCCAGCAGTGTTGAATGGGTGGTTAAAGAGTTAGTTTACTATTCTCTCATTTTACTCACTCTCATGTTGTTCTGTGGAAGACGAGGAGAATCTTTATCATGGTTGTCAGGCTCCAAAATGACCATAAAAGCAGCAGTCTTCCACATGCCAGGGCTTGAGGTCATTGGTGCCATTGAAGATTGTTCAAATTTTTTCCTTTTGCATTTCACAAAGATGAGGGTGAGTAAATGATGACTGAATTCATTTTTGGGTGATTAAAACACTTATTTTCCCCTCTAAGTTGATTCATGTCACTGTCAGTCAGTTTATATATGAAAAACAGATCTTCTGCCGTATCGTATTTGCCCTGTTTATGTGTCTGAGGTCATCAGTCATGATCTTTCACTGCACGTGTGTTTCCTCATGGCACAGAGTAATGAATGTGAAAACGCTCTGGGGTTGCGGAATGTGACTCATTAAAGAGATGCAAATAATGTTCAGATTTGTGTTTATGTTGGTGTTTTATGACACACATGGTTGTGGTGATGTACCTTTATTGTGAGCCTACCGTATTGATTACATCTGGAAACATCTGGGGCATGTGTTACTATCGGAGTGTATCAGTTCAGATATCACCCCCTGAATCAACAGAAGAATATTCCTTTAAGAAACTGAAGCCCTTTTACCATTCAGAGAATTTGTACATTATTCTCATGATTAAACACATTACTCCATTTTAATTATTAAATACATTCAAACAAATACTTGCAAATTGTGCTTTAACATTTTTGTAAATATTTCTTTCAAACTGGTCAGGTTGTTCTGTTACACTAATGAGAATTATATTCATATGTTAACATGCATTCACTTATTTATTGACCTTTGAATGTTCCCTCATCTGTTTGCAGAAGCTCTTCAGCGGCCGGATTTTGAGGCCACAGGTCTGTCTGAAGCGTCTCGTTGGAACTCCAAAGAGAATCTGCTGGCGGGACCCAGTGAAAATGACCCCAATCTGTTCGTAGCGCTGTATGACTTCGTTGCGAGCGGCGACAACACTCTCAGCATCACCAAAGGTGAGAAACACCATTTTTACATAGTTCATCATCTGAACTAGGGATGTAACGATTACCGGTTTGATGATAAATCATGATAAAATTCCCGACGGTTAGTATTACCATTTTATATTTTAATTATCATTAAAACCGTATTAGATTACCGTGATTTGTCCAGCACATGTTAACAATACCGTGATAATACTGATAACCGTGATTTGGTCACTATAACCGTGATAAGAAATTTTCATACCGTTACATCCCTAACCCTGAACACATTACACACTTCATCATGACTCAGGCTAGGGCAAAATTTCAGTACTTGTCACCAATACCAGTGAAATTTCACTGTAATCACTGCTAGTTTCAATACCACAGAAATATTCAACTGTAAATAATGTGCTATTGAACATACTCCTTTTAATTACGAAAGTTTAGAGTTATTATTAAATTAACGCTCATGCTGTGTTCCGGTCATTTTGATCTGGAGATGATTTTTTTTTCCCCGAATATGCAAGTTAATGACATTTGGAATTCTTTTTTTTTTTTTTTACTCCTTTAGTTTTTTCCCACATTGATACACTTGAGGTGTTTCCGGTCAAAAATGACCGGCCTACAAAAAATTATAAATCTTATAAATCTATCATTATGCTAATTGAATTGAATCCAAATACTGGATTCAATCTGTTTTTCATCTTGTTTTCTTTCAGTTATCACAGGTTTTGTATTTGTATTCGGAGCTGATTGATTGTAGGCCTCATTGATCTGAGCTACGATCAGTCAGTTCCCAAAAGAAACACAAAGCCTGTGCTAATTGAAAGAAAACAAGTTGACAAAAAGATTGAATCCAAGATTTTATGATAATATAGCATAATGAGATTACAAGCCATTTTTAAAAGGCTGGACATTTTTGATGAGGAACACCAAATTAGGTGAAGAAGCTTGTCTGCGGGTCCTAAAAAGTCTTAATTTCTTAAAGTTATAAAATATAACTTCTAGATATTGAGGCCTTTTATTAAGGCTTAATAAAAGGCCTTAAGTCTTAAAATTCAGATTCGATGGGCCTTAAATATTTTTGGTCACATTACCGCTAAAATGTCTCCAGTTTGACGGGCCCAGTGATTGTTTACAATCATTGGACAGACCAACGATTTTTATTATTATTATTATTATTTATAATGTTTTCAATAACAAAATACAGGTCGAGCTACAGCTTGCTGACCAGCCTTCTAGCTAGTTTAAAATGTTTTTTTTTTTTTTTTTTACTTGCCCGACCTGAAGAATAGCCTGATTAAACTCTAGTGACAAAAAATAACCAGTGAAGCATCAAAGCGCGAGAATAATTCTCTGATTTTATTACATTCAACGTAAACTGCAATTGATAATGGATAGTGTATTTCTGGTATCAAGGTCGCACTGTTGAGGCTCGTGCTGTCTGTCTCTTTATAAGAGACTTTAAAACAAATGAGCATAACGGCACACATAAATTCAGAAAACTCAGAAGAAACACTGTGGTAAAAAATTCTAAATGTTTAGTTTATTCATAAAATAATATAATTAAGTAACATACCATGACAGGGGAGCTTTTTTGCTGATTTTTCTCATGATTGCAAATGTTACATTGATTTTAGTTCAATAAACAAGTAGTTAAGTAGTCAAGTAATGGAAGTTAATTACATGTTAGACACAATATTTATTGTTTTCTTCTATTTCACCAACGAAAATGGTTCCAAACAAAGATCACAGCAGAAGTATTGCACATTCTCCAAGCAATACATTTTGAACGAAGCGGTTGAATGAACGACTCAATGACTCACTCATTAAGTGACTTACCGCCACCTACTGGTGGATTAGTACGATTAAAATTATGCATTTTCCCCCCAACATTTCTTATTTGTATATTCAAAAATGTATTTAAAACATTAATCTCCCTAACATTATTTATTGCAGTTGTAATTTTGCAGTGTAAATTATTTAATTTGACTGGTATCAGCCCTATAGTGTATATTGAATTTCTGGATCAGTTGTAAAAATTTAACATGAAAGATGATGCATACATTTACTAAGGTTAAAAAAAAATAGACCTTTATAAAGGTAAATAAAAAAATATGCAGATTTAAGCATGTAAAAGCTGATAGACTGATGGAAATATTGCTTCAGAATATATTGTTTACACCAACAAAAATCTCTGTGATGCGGTGCTTTTGTGGGGATATTTTGTATGGAATATTATCTGCTGATTTGAAAAGTTCACTGTATATTGTAATAATAGATAGCATTTATGACAGCAGTGATATATTGTTTTCTTTTTACATTAAACACTATACATATGTAATATGTATATTTCCATCACAGGTTTAGGTCTTAAATTTCATATTAAGGTGGTATTAAAAAGGTCTTAAATTTAACTTGTTCATAGCTGAAGACAGCCTGTAAAGGATTTTCAGCACAAACTTGTTAAAATAGTGCCTTCAGGTATCTGCAAGACACTGCACAACCTAACAATGCACAGATCAGATTTAGTTCCTTCTGGTTTCATTAACCAAGGAACTGTTTACAATAAAGTCTCGCTAAGATGGGCATTTTGGTCTAGAAATGTGTTTGAGCACTCACATGTGGTCACATACTGTTGTGTATCAACATTGTTCAGAAATATTAGTACCCGTGCTCATCTTTCACAACAACAGACTGCACATTATTGCATGTGTTTTCTTATTTTTGTTTGGGAGATGCTGCTCTTTGTTCCATTTATTAGCAACAGTATGAGGTCACATGTCTGACTGGAAATCTACATATTTGCTGCACATTCTTCATCTCTCTTCCTTTATCTTGCTCAACATGTCCGATCTTTCCATTCAGCCCATGAAAAACAGTGAGGGGAAGATCTACAGCCGTTCAGACGCCCATCACTTCATTAGATAATGAGAGAGTGTAGAGTCAGTACCTGGATATTTCCCACCGCTGTTTTATAAAGAGCTGTTATTAGGGCACAGGATATACTACAGAAGGCACAGACAGGAGGTTGATTAGTACAGATTTTGTTATTTGCATTAGTTCATTTAGCAAATGCTTTTATCTAATGCGAACCCCACAAGCAGTTCGTCTAAGAGCGATTTGCTTGTTGTGTCTGAGAGCACACGATGAAAAACTGGCCCAAGTCATGAGCCTTTATGATGAACACTTCAAGAAATTCACATAATAGTGATGTACTAGTGCTGCTCGTGATGCGATCAAAGCAGTCTTGTGCTCCAGACAGGAATGATCCCTCAAATCATGTGTGTTGTTGAGGAGAGTGCGTCTGATCACTCACTGCAGTATCAGCACATTTAAAAAAGGCAAATTCTTGCTGCATTCTGATTGAAATCAACTCTTTGAAGTGCATGTAAACAATGAGCTTGTGCTAAGCAAAATGATGGCTTTTTTATTCAGAGCCAATGGACTCTAGGGCTGCAGGATTAATTGTATTTTAATCATTATAATGATTCCTGCTTCTCTTGATTAAGCTTAAAGGTGTGCTGTATGTGATTATTTTAGTTATTGGGTCTTAAAAAATTTATAAAAGATATTGTAATATGATTTTAGATTCTAGTTCTTAATAAACTTTCCTTTTGGCATCTTCATTTTTAAGGCCTTCTATGGCTCAGTTCCAGAGATATTGGAATTTCAATATGGCTCCAGGAGTAAATCGTTAAATTGTATTTGGTTTTTGAACACTGAAAATGTGTAATATTCAACAATCTGGACATGAAGCCTCATTAAGGTCCCCATATCTCTGGGACTGAATGATATAGGGCCTTGAAAATTAAGATTCCAAAAGAAACGTTTATTAAGAACTAGAATTTAAAATCATATTGCAATATCTTTTATACATTTTGAGTTATAGGCACGCAAACTTTGGAAAAAGAATATATATGGCACTCAGACAGGTATGTTCAATGCAGTTGTTTTGACAGAGGGAAACGAGATACATTTCTAGTTTCAACATGATTTGTTCTTCAGACATTCCTCTTTAAAAGAAAAGAAGTATCGTATTTATGCAAAGTGACCCACATTTTGGTTTTGACCACTGAACGTGTACTATTTAATGATTGTGTACAATTTAATGATCCTGGAGCCATATTGAAATTCCAATATCTCTGGAACTGAACCATAGAGGGCCTTAAAAATGAAGACGCCAAAAGGAAAGTTTGTTAAGACCCAGTATCTTAAAAGGCATTAAGATATCTTTAATACTTCTTGAGATACAGTCATGCAAACTTTGGAGAAAAAACTTGAAAAGTGCTCTTTCCCCATTTTTGAATGGTCACCACTGGCATATAATGCAACGAAGATTGCTAAAGTCAACAGATTTTACTAACAGACCTACCAATCTCTCTGTAAAAATAACATCATGATGCTGCCATCTTTCTTACTCCGTAAATATTCATCTATGACACTTAATATTTTGGCTGTCATCACTATACATGTTTTTTCAGAAAAAATATTAGCAAAATCCAAAAATTGAGCTGGTATATTTGACACGGAATGACCCCTATGACGTAACCCATTTCTCATGCTGCTCTGATCAGGAGAGAAGCTGAGGGTTCTGGGATACAATCACAATGGCGAGTGGTGCGAGGCTCAGACCAAGAATGGCCAGGGCTGGGTGCCCAGCAACTACATCACGCCCGTCAACAGCCTGGAGAAGCACAGCTGGTACCACGGGCCTGTGTCCCGCAACGCCGCCGAGTACCTGCTGAGCAGTGGCATCAACGGCAGCTTCCTGGTGCGTGAGAGCGAGAGCAGCCCAGGACAGAGGTCCATCTCGCTGCGCTACGAGGGACGCGTCTACCATTACCGCATCAACACGGCCTCGGATGGCAAGGTGAGAGTCAGAATATTCCAGCAGTAGTGTGCTTCAGAACGAGTTGTGCTCACATCATCCACAGAGCGTTAAGCTTTACATGTCTGACTTTACATAAGCTTTACATGTCAGTGATCATGTGATAACAGTAATTAGAGATAATGTCTTATCATACACATCTGATTAGCAGCAGGTGAAAATACACACTCTCACTAGTCTGAAATGAACTTTGAAGTTACTGAAACATTTGAGAATGCTGCGTGATGTGTACAAATAAAACTAGTTTTCAATACCTGATTTTTAAGACACCCTTAAAAGCTCAAGCACTATTCAGATGGCAATTTTTTCTCATGTAAAAATAAATCTGCATGCATTTCTCAGTGATAATACTCATGGGTTGAGATGACTATTTGGCAGAGCACAGATATGCAGTTTTCATATGGTCAGTCACATGCTGAATGTGACGATTAATTTCCTTACCTACTACAGGACACATGAAATTAAATGGAGTGTTTTCAACAATAGCTAGTGAACTCACTTACAATATTTAGACTAGCTCATTAACTGGTTGCTAACTAGTCTTGATTTCCTCACACATTGGCTGGTGAGAAGCACCATAGCTCCCTTGATATTTCAGTAGAAATTAAATAACAGTTGCTAGCAATTATCACTTTTTCGTAGGATCAGGGCTCCAAAATAGAGTAAAAATAGAGTTTAATTTCTTGAAGAAATGGTGAATTAGATTTTTTTTTTTAAACCACTATATTAATTATTATTTGCATTAATCAAGTCACATTTGTTTCTGTAGCACTTGATATAATACAGATTCTTTCAAATCAGCTTCACAGTAATAAACAGTAAAATTACAGTATTAATGCTGCAGAACTCAACTATGAAACAAATAGAATTTCATCTGTAAAGTAGCTCTATAGAAGACAATGGAGTCATTATTTAGCTTCATTTAGATGACTCAATTTAGTTCAATAGCGTAAATTAACCTTTCATTTATATAGTATTTTGAGTTTCTAATATTAGTTAGTTAAATGGAGTGTGTTCCAATAGCATGCTGAAGAATGTCTTATCATACACATCTGATTAGCAGCAGGTGAAAATACACACTCTCACTAGTCTGAAATGAACTTTGAAGTTACTGAAACATTTGAGAATGCTGCGTGATGTGTACAAATAAAACTAGTTTTCAATACCTGATTTTTAAGACACCCTTAAAAGCTCAAGCACTATTCAGATGGCAATTTTTTCTCATGTAAAAATAAATCTGCATGCATTTCTCAGTGATAATACTCATGGGTTGAGATGACTATTTGGCAGAGCACAGATATGCAGTTTTCATATGGTCAGTCACATGCTGAATGTGACGATTAATTTCCTTACCTACTACAGGACACATGAAATTAAATGGAGTGTTTTCAACAATAGCTAGTGAACTCACTTACAATATTTAGACTAGCTCATTAACTGGTTGCTAACTAGTCTTGATTTCCTCACACATTGGCTGGTGAGAAGCACCATAGCTCCCTTGATATTTCAGTAGAAATTAAATAACAGTTGCTAGCAATTATCACTTTTTCGTAGGATCAGGGCTCCAAAATAGAGTAAAAATAGAGTTTAATTTCTTGAAGAAATGGTGAATTAGATTTTTTTTTTTAAACCACTATATTAATTATTATTTGCATTAATCAAGTCACATTTGTTTCTGTAGCACTTGATATAATACAGATTCTTTCAAATCAGCTTCACAGTAATAAACAGTAAAATTACAGTATTAATGCTGCAGAACTCAACTATGAAACAAATAGAATTTCATCTGTAAAGTAGCTCTATAGAAGACAATGGAGTCATTATTTAGCTTCATTTAGATGACTCAGTTTAGTTCAATAGCGTAAATTACCCTTTCATTTATATAGTATTTTGAGTTTCTAATATTAGTTAGTTAAATAGAGTGTGTTCCAATAGCATGCTGAAGTGCTCTCCTGACAGCACCACTCAGTAATAGAGACAGACGATGATGAGTGCAGCCCGTGGGCAGATAAATGAGTCCATGTGTCACGCATGCACTGCAGCGCTGCATTCCTGCTGAATGCTGATGACCGCTGCGCTCATTCCTCGCATACCTGACGTGCCTCGTCTGCCTCACAGGCTCCGCATGAGGCCGCGACACACTTCCCTGCTGGAATCTCCAGTGTAAGCCGTCAGGAATGAGTCTGAGACGCCATTTCAGCACAACAGTTCACATTTAACCTGAGGTGGAAGATCTGCGTTTTTAAAATGTACATCCTTGATTTAAACATTTAGAATTAGTAAGGATAGCTGTTTTTAATTATTATACAGCCAGTATCATATAACTCCATTCAGGACACTTGACAGATTAACATGACATGAAACCAAGTTTTCTTGACCCTCCTGCCACATCTGAAGCATATGGATGAAAATATTAAAAATGCAGTAATTACACCACTAAAGTATTAAAAAGGTGCATTTAAACACGCATGAATTCACTAAAGAAACCTCATTAATGCATTCACACAGAAATTAGGATTTTGAAGAGGAAACAGTGTATCACTCTCGAATGTTACATTCTTTGACACGTGATGCATCACTGCTAAATTCCTGTGCCGTTTTTAACTCTTGTAATTAGTGTTGTCAAAAGTGCCAATGTCGCTACTGAAATTTTCAAATGTGACGATACCTGCATTTCCTGCTAGCATTTTGAGCGTTGTTGTGTGGATTCTCAAACACCTGATTGGCCATTGTGTTTTTGTACTCTACAGATAGTCTGTGATTGGCTACAATGATCATCTCTTCACGCTTCAAAATCTTCACTGAGTGCTTACACAGATAGATACACTCGGGAGAACACAATTTCAGCGTGTGAACACAATGGCCAATCAGAGCTGTTTAAGAATCCGCTCAACAGAGCACAAAATGTTAGTGGGAAATGCTGTAACAACAATTCATACTCGCATGAAATGCTTGACTCAAAATCATTTTAAAGGGGTATGGAGGACTGTTTCCTGATCCTGGTAGAGTAGACTACAATGTTAGGAAACTGTTCTGTTCTGACTCACAGACTGTAAGTACGTTTTTTATATTTAAAGAATTTGCCACTGACGATTCAAACGCGAGTTTTGAGCAGTGTAGAGTAGCGCTTGTTGTTTGTCATTTCTCCGATCACAAATGCAGACATGGTTTTATGTTGATAAAGTATTTATAATAAATCTTGCATATTCCTTAAAAATGAGAATAGTCCATTTTGTTTTCATGGTGACTTTAATGCATTAGTACCTCAGTCTGTCCTGGGTTCAGCGGCTAGTAGGGCTGCATGATAAATCGCATGCGATATTTAATGCGCATCTTG